ATGGCTTGGAATTACCACGCGCATCTGAGCTTCCTACTTCTTCTATTGATGGCGATTGTTGTGAGTCATTTTTCAATTAGCGTTCATCTAATTCGATTGCTAGATTTTCCTCTTATGAGATGAGAATCGTTTTTGCATTCGTGGGTTGGTTTCGCTATTCTTACCCTTTGAGGAGTTTTGGAAGCGCTCTTTTCACATTTCCATGTTGCCTGAAAAGCTCGTCAAGGAGGGGAACAAGCGAGTTCATGCACTTTCCATCACTTTATTATCTTATTTCCAAGGCCCCCTCCTCTTCCAAATATCACACTAACCTACGATTCTCGTAATACCGGTTACAAGGCTTCTGTCAACTAGAGGTAGGAGCGCAGCTTGGAAAGCATACACTTTGTGTCATATTGGCAGGGTGAATAACGGTCGAGGAATTTCCTCGACCATAGCTCTCTACCATGCGAGAGTAGTGCCGAGAGTGAACATCCGCGCGGAGAGCACAGACGGCACGCGCATGGCGAGTGTGAATGTCCGCGCGAGAGATCGTGTCTGATCGGGCAGAGAATCCTCGACGTGCCGTTGAGGAATCCTCAAGCGATATTCACCCTGCTTATTGGGACTAAGTTTTGAGGAGATAAAGAAAGCAGAGATGCTGTGATAGTGTGCACGTGTGAGAGCTTCCAGACGCCACTACAAATCGCTGAACAGCCAAGTCTCGCGGTTGACAGAAGTCCTGAGACCCCTAATACTTGGGCGAACACGACCCCTTGTTGGGGGATTCTTGATCATGGATCACATTGCTAGTTACCGTTGGTCACTGGTGAGATCTCTTCTATCGCAAGTAATTTTGGACAAAAAATGTTATTTATGAAGACAGTCCCGCTCCAACCTGTCTGCGAGAAGGTCTCTTTTTGACGTCTTCACCATTGTCCTAAGTATTGCATGTCACACGGTACATATAATGGTCATGAGGGCTCATAGGATTGACATCAGTTATGTCACCGAAAATGCAGGAATCATTAAGGTTAGACCTTTCCTCCTTTCTGTCAAACAATTGCTCTGTAAGATTGATTGAGTTGTGTTCTTGGTAGGTCTATCTCCTGCTTGTCTCTTTGGTAGGAGTATTCTTATTTAGTCATTCAGTATACGTACCACTTTTACCTTTTTGTGCGCAAACAAATATATTCTTGTTGACTGCGAATGTGTCTTTGGTGTGCTCTTTAGTACTATGACGAATAGAACTCGAAGTGATCTTTGCGTCATCGGTTCTCGAAATTCTGACCTTTATGTTCCATATATGTATGTGGTGAGGAGCAGGGCTATTGTAGACTGTTGAATGAATGCTTCATTTGTCCCTCTCGAGCACTTTCAGCTTTCCATTCCTTGTAGGAATGCCGTTGTGGCCTTGTTGCTTGGTATGTGGTCGAGGCAGTCAGTCGAGGGCTGCCTCAACCACACACCAAGCTACAAGCTGTCGCTGGTCAAAGGTGAAAGGGTGAAGATTGCGCATGATCATAAGCAATTGATTCGCAATTAGACGCGATCGGGGCGACGCAGGGCAATTCAACACACTCTCACTTCGTATTAGTCATACGCTGAGCATCAGTGCCCAGTCGTTTCAGGCGTTCTTTCCCGTGCTGTTCTGAACTGAGAGGCGAGCGAGCGCGAGATGAATAAGTAGGGGGCGTCCAAGGAGTGCTGTAGTCGTCGCGCCCGTAGCGTTAGAGGCACGCTCATCTCATCATATTCCCTGCAGCAATTCGACGAAGATTGTTGAAGCACGTCGTAGCCCTTCTGAAGGCTGCTGCTGCCATATACGTTTTTGTGCTGACTGTATTAGTACGGGTTTGGAAAATCATTAGGGAGAATTTTCGTAAGTGCTCAACGATTTTCTTATATCTATCCTACTGTACTTGAGTAGAGTTTTACTTTCTGAAAATATTAATACACCATAGTCTAACGTCATTCACTTTCTTCCTTACTGGCAACTGAAGAGTTCCTTTGCGGCGTGCAGTCAGTCCGTGCTATGCGCTCTAATGAAGCATTTGAATTCAGTATTTTATTCTTTGATCGAAATAGTTGAAATATTCAGGCGTAACGCCGACCGTTCTCCTTGACGAATCAATGATTCCGCTTGTTGGAACACCTCATCCTATGGCTTACATCCCAATGGAGGACGTGTTTACGTTTGTCGATCGTCGTTCTAATCAGGAGCTCCCTGCGATCACAGAGGAGATCGAGGTTTCAAATGTTTCCATAGTTTATGTTTACATTGTCTCTTTTTGTAGATTCTTAGTTTAGTCAAATATTATAATTCAAATGTACCACAACAGCTAACTATTGTTAGGATCATACCCTCCGACGTCGACGATACACTAGAAGTTCATCTTTTGAGGGCCGCTCGCGAAACTCCTCCACTGGTAAGCTTCCTGAAGGAGTAGAACTTCCACCTGAACCGACTCGAACGCAATCGGAGGCACAAATAGTAGCCGAGCTGGAGTATCCGCCGTATGATCCGTATGAAATTCCCGCAGGCCCATTACACAGGTGAGGTGTTTTCGCAAAAAATTACTGCGGTCACTTAGTAAATGATAAGTCACCCTTTGATGACTGTATTCGTCTATGACAGGGGTGACCGAGACCTGTTCTATGTGTCACCTTGCTTCTTTCTGGAAGTTTCTTGTGAAGATTTTTGCTCTGAATTGCTTAGTGACGCATTGATTTGAAAGGTGCCGAATTCGTGCTTTGCTTCCCTACGACCCTAACTTGATAGAAAACTATAAAGCATGCCAAATAATGCTAGTTTATCGCTATATCTACATCTGCTGCTCTGCTTCTCATTCGTTTCCCTTTTACGATTTTTACACAAGAATCGCGCTTTGTTTACTTTTATAGCTGCCGTTTTTGTTAGGCAGAATTGAAAAGTCTTCATAGCTTTATAGCCAGTGAAAAGAGTTGTATACGGTGGCATTGCAGGCGAGCAATTAGTGACAACATGGGAGTTCCGTCGGATCGACGAAGTGAGCTACACCGAACGCAAGAAATGGAGGAGATCGATCGTGTTGGCAACGATGTGGTCGGTCGTGCCTTTTTTGCAAGAAGATTGGGTTCCCATTAGATTGTTTCGAATGATGGAAGGGTCCTCGAATGCTTTCAGGAAGTGCAGTTGCGGGCGCAAAGGCCTGTGGGTCGTGCGAGTTCCGTCGTATCGAACAGATGTCAGAGTCAAGTAAGTTTTTATCAAGCGTGAATGTTCAGATAAGGACCAGAATTAGTCATAGCTCAAAAGTGTCATACATGGTGGGGTGTCGAAGATTGTATTCTAGCTTATCAGATCTCTGTTGATGATTCGTGTGGGGCTTTGTGAGGTTGTACTCACTAGCAAGAGCTTCGCACGTTTTCAATTTAGAGATCTCTTTTCATAGCGGATTCCTTCTATGACTACTAAAGGCCTAATTTTTAGTTGAATCACAGCTCAGTTTTGTAGCGATGTTGACATTGTTATTCTGTGACACACTTTAACGATCATACGTAGCAATGTGAAAGACAATCCTTGCATTTGTCGCGTTTGCAAGGCGCTCAGCCTGCGCAGCAAGTTGATTGCATGTCGTTGTGTATTAGTTGTTGTAACTCTTCTAGCAGTGTTACTGTTCATAGTCAGCGAGCGTTCGTGGCTGCGCAACCGATCCCCAAAAGCTTATTCCACGCACGCTGAGCGCCTTCCATTTATCCCAATTGATCTACGTAAGATTTTTCTCCTGTGAATGACGTCGCCGGACTTTTACGCAGAGGCAGTGCCACTTTTGTGATCAAAATGCAAGGCGGGGGCATACGAATTGCATCTCTGCCGATCGCATGCCTGTATGCACGCTCTGCAGGGTATGTATCGATGCCTGCGTCTCGCTCGTTCCATGTGCTCTCTCATTGCTGGGCGATTACTGTCCTGTCAGCGCCCAATGTCTCATATAGGTTGATTTGTGGACTCAACCACCGCCCATACTTGATGCCCTTTTACACTGATTCTGCTTTCGCAGAATGTGTCTTTGATAGAAGATCCCAAGATTATATGACCGAAATTTTGCGGAATAGAAGCAGGGATCATGGCACTACAATTGGAAGTGTCGGTGCAGTGGAATGCCTTGTAAACGATGTTGTTCAGAGTCAAGCGCTGGTTCACTCTGCCGGTCAATCTGCCCCTCCCTCGCCTCCACCCCCTCCCCCATGAGGGTGACTGTGTTATACGGAACAGTGGCCAGCTTGTGGGGATCGGAATTGACGGAACAATGGCCAGCTTATGGAGATCAGAATTGGAGATGGAAAATTTCCCGAGTAGAAGGCAATGTTGACTCATTTCGGCACAAATCAGCTGTGTATCATGAATTGATTGCTGCTGATGGCGTGAAGATAGCTACTGCTGGCATCGAACTAGCAGTTCGGAAAACTCGTCCGTACACTCCCTTTTCTTATTTAAGAAGAGGGTGGAGAATAGCTGTATGAGGGAGGTACCGCAGCCATGATATTTCTGGTTGTTTCCCTTGCTTTTTCTTCACTTCCAATCCTTCGCTTCTCTACCTTCAATAGTGAGCGCATTTCACCTTCATTATCACACCAACATGGTTATAAGATGTCTTTTAAGCAAGCGGTCTACGTGCGCTTGAAGATCTCGAAATGGTCACACGAAGTAGTTGTGCGATTCACAAGCGCAAGTGACTATCTCAGGGTGCATTTATACTAGGCAAGCGGTCGACGGCTGCCAGTTGCACAGTGATAGTGTTCACAAGAAAATAATTGAGCATCTCAGCGAAAATCGAAAAAGAAGGCGATCCATGAAAAGATTTCACACCTCTTTCACAACAACGCTATCTCCATGTACAAATGAACGGGTGACAGCGGTTCGCTGAGTATGGAAGCAGTCATGAGTCACAACGGGATCATGTCGTCTTTTCAATCGAGATGACAAATCGCGTCGCTGTCTCTGAGTGTACGATGGGGAGGTAGCGGACAACGTTGTTTCTCACAGCGTTTCAGTTGTCTTCTATTGTACTTTTCCGGCGAATGCCCTTCTTGTGATAGTTGTCATGTTTTGCCCCGCTAATATTTTTTCAAAGGGAAGGAACAGTTTATACTATTCCTTGGAACCGTCCAGTTCTGTAAGAGGATCCGATTCGAGAAAGGCACTGGCATGCGTAATCCCGACCGCTAGTCATTCTGAGGATTTGTTCTGCAAGCAATTTCGAATACGTTATTGAGGCTCACTTAAAACAACGAATTCAGATGAACTTGCGTCAACGAATCTTCTGTTGTGGGATAGGGTAGCCCAGCAGTATCACACATGTGCCGTTGTCGCGGCTCGAAAGTGCGCGACAAGTGGCGCTAGGGCCTTACAAAGTGATCTGATGGCGACTAATGTGAACTTATGGACGAGATACCTCGCGCACACCCCGTGATACGCAGCGTGGATTACAACGTAGCGGCTATTCAAATACGCGCGGGTTAGTGGAGCCATGGAGCAAGCAAGTTCAGACACTTGTCCGGTACGCACCCCTCCTTCATTCCAAGAGGAAGAAAGGGGTTAATTGTCATATCATCGGCAGTTTGCTTTGCTTCTTTCGTTTCCATTAGTCAGTTCGGCATCCACAGTTTCATTATCGACTGCTGTTACCCCACCATTTTGATCTGGGGTTGTTGCTTTAAATCTTGAGTGAATGGACCGCATTCATACTTTTCGAAAGCCTTGCAATTCGCTTGCTATCCGAGTGTGGAGTATATGTAGTACACCCATCGACAGGCGGTTTTGCGATTCTGTGATCGAAAAATCGCAGACGCCGCAACGCATGTGGTAGGCGTTGCGATAGTCCCCGTCGCTTTTCGTCCTTCACGTTCTTGTTCGTTTATTTATTTCTTCAAATGTCCTATCTGTTTGCTTGAGTAAAGTGTGTCCGCCGAAGCGAGCGAAACATTCAATTGTTGCGTAGGAAACGCTGGCGAATATGATGGGGTGTGGCTTTATGGAAGCCCCGATTTATCACGTATGTTGCGGCGCATGCGACTTTGCGATCGTGCGGTCGCAACATAACGAATTCGCAACATCGCAAACTATGGCCACGGCCTGAAAGGCCTTCCAAGTGAATTGATTTCGACGCGAAATCGATCAATTTAGTATGCGTAACATACGGCTACTCGCGCTGCTGGCTAGAGCGGCTCAAAAAGACTCATCGTCATCGGTGTGTAACTTATAATAGTTCCCTGATCGTATGTTCAGCGATTTATTTTGCAGGTGTTCCTTCCACAAATTGGTCCTGGGGACAGTGCGGCATCAGCTCCAGTGTTGGATCGGAACATGAGCTCATCGGATCCATCTGTCAATGAGGAGAACACGTCAAGTGAGCATTGAAAGTTTCGCTTTTTGAAGGGTGCTGGCGATCCTCATTGATCGTGTTACAGGGAGCAATTTGGGAGGTTATAAATCTCAGATCTCATTAATTCTTTAATGATCTGAATTTATGACATCGATCTAGGTAACTAATCTTTGCTATACAAAAAACTGCATCAGTTGGCCAGTTGGTGCCGTAATAGATGATCTTGGGAGCCGGGTTGCCGGGTGGCTGGGTTTGCATCGTGCGCGGCGGCTCTTTTACAATACTATTCAGTATGGTGAAGGTGGACGACGCATGCATTTAATAGGGAGACGTGCGTTTCTCCTCCTGGGGTCAGGTCACCACAGTTGCGCGATCATTGAAGCTTAAGGTTAAGTTTGGGTTTAGACTTAGGTTAAGGCTTATGCTTACACATTGGCTTATGCCTAAGCCTATGATTGGGCCTAGGCTTAGTCCTAAGCTTGCTCCTGAGCGAATGAACGGCGTCTCAATTTTAGGTGACCTGACCTTTGGTATGGAGAAGTTATTATACCCTTACGCAACCCCATATAAGGCCTTATTTGGGAAGGGGCACGTGGAACAAAAGGATAACGTATGCCTTCCATTATCGTGGTTAGAATTACACATACACTGCGACGCATAATTATAGTTCCACCTACAATTTCAGTACCCGGCTGGATATCATTTTCTCACGATACGGCGCTTATCTCAGTCGGATAGTAATCAGGGTTCCTCCCAGTCATATCCTGTAGCATCCTTGAGAAATTTGTTCGTTATGAAGTCACCCCGACAAATTCCAGCGGAGCTGACACTTTGACAATTCCTGCGTCTCTTTTGCTAGGATTTCCCTTTTACGGAAGTGTGACAGCGGTTTTGCCTTTGCTATAAGCTAAGGAACTTGAATGGGTAATAATTTTCAAATTTGTTCGGGTAAAGCAAAATGCAGCGGAGAAACATGAGGTGGAACTATGATTTTGCGTCATGCAAGCGGGTATTTTCGAAAAAATAAGGATAAAAAATTGTTGCTTTCTCAAACTGGATTTCCGTGTTAATATTCAGATTCGCGTTTATATGTGTCACAATTTATCTGTAGAGCCTTTTCCAAAAACATCCCCAGATTCAAGTTTTTGGGAAATTTGTAGGTGGAACTATTATGCGTCGCAGTGTATGCTTTTAAGGAAATGCTAGAATTCGATGGTTTGATGCGCTCGGTTAGAAAAGGGTTCATTTGCATCTTTGCAGAAGGTTGCAAAGATGGTGCAAAAAGAAATGGTGCAGGGATAATGTAAGGAGGCGATTACAGGTTTTTGTGCTCCTCCAACAAAATGCCCGTCTGCTATTCGGGATTAGTTTAATAGCGTTTTTAGGTCTATGTTGTGATGGCACATAAGTGCATCGTGAGTAACTAGTGTGTAAAGGTGTTTTTCCAGAAGCCTGTTGTTATGATTTTATGTTGAAACGATGTGAGATGTTGAATATTCGTTTCAAATTTCCAGAATTTTTCAAAATAATGCGAAAGTAAATTTTTGAAGCAGAGCAGGAACAGCCTAGATTTCTTCGGATGATCCTTTGTTTTTTATTAGCCTTTCATAAGATTTTTTTTTGGAGGAAAAGGCTACTCTGCAGTAGTTTCATTGGTTTTCCAATCCTGCTAACAAAAAGCACTAAATCTGTGTCAATCAGGCACTTCATGCTCGTTTGACTATGCTAAACTAGTTTGAGACGCTTGAATCATTATTTCCAGGTTGTTCGTAAAGTAATCAAGTGCTCATTGCTATCTTTTTTGTGAATGCTTTGTTCTCTATCTGTCTATCTCTCTCTGTTCTCTCTCTACTCTGGTGTCGTTGAGGTGAGCAATTTGAGCGCAATCTGCAAGTGCGATAGAATTTTGATATTGCTTGTGGTGTGGACCGCTTTTCCCCGATTTGACATGGAGGTCCTTCGGACAGTTTACTTCTGTGATTTTGAACCTAGGAGCAGCAACTGTCTGAAGAGCAATGAACTATAGGGTCAGAGAAGTGTAGATAAAATGCGCAGTGTACTTCGATCTCAAAACATCTTCTACATCGCTTTCATCCTTTGCACCGTGCGGAAAGTGCAGACAGTGCGGACCTTATATACCCTCGCCACTTTTTTCTATCCAGGGCATCTCCCGCCTTGGCCGACAAGTGAGGTCTTTTTTGATGACGTCCCTTCACCTCTTCTGTGGGGCTCCTCACAGAAGAGGGGAAGGTGTCCTTAGCACATGCCCATACCATCGCAGACGCTGTTCCCGTACCTTCAGCTGGACAGGGGCAGTCTGCATGACCGCTCTGACCTCCTCGTTTCTAACCCTGTCCAGCCGCAGGCCCACCTCAGCATCCTCATCTCAGCGGAGTGAAGCTGCCTTTCGTGGTTCTTGTTCAGGGGCCAGCACTCGCTGCCGTATAGCATCGCACCACTCTCCTCTCTTACACCTTTCCTTTGAGCATTCTGTGGCACCTTCTATTGTAAAGGATTCCGAAGGGCTCTCCACTCCCCCTCCCCACATTTCATCCATGCATGCTATAGAACTCGGAGAGAAGCAAAACCGCTTAATCCTCAGATCTTCTAAATTTCGAGTATGAATACTTTGGGTACTGGGCAATCACGCGTGGCGCTGTTTAGGGAGTCAAAGAGCTCTTGCTTGACTGGATTCTCTTGAGAATCACTTCACGGCCCTGAAACATTTAAGTGGCTTCGAAGTATCATACATTGCTGGCTGCTTCCACTTGGGCAGTTGCCAGTGACTGTAAGATTGAGCATGACCAAACTGCGGGTCAAACTAGTGGTCTTGACTTTTGCCGCTGACATTCTGTAGCATGATGCTTCTGCGCAATCCGATGCTTCCTATGCGCCACGCGTTTGGTTTGGTTTATGTGATTTCCCGCCATCCGCTTCCATTTCCCTACCTTCACTAAGTGCCTTTTATAGGAGCTCTTCAAACTTCTTTATGCGACGCGCCTCGCGAAGGAGCGCCCTAAAATGCGTTCATTGATTTTCGGTGCAGCAGAATGATGCTGTCACAGTCTTATCAAAACTTCTGATAAATTGATACTGCCAGGCGGACTGGTTTTTAGCTTTCATAATGGACGGTTTCTTCTGGCCTATGAGTCGTTGTTACCTTGCATCAATATAGATGGATTGTTTTGTGAACAGACCGACAGAAGGGCCATATCCTCAGGAAAACATGTATATAATTTAATAGAGTTCTCTTGTACCATAAATAAATCAGGTTTCGTTTGTCTGTCCGCCCGCCCCATAAGTTTGTAGTTGTTGTCGAAAAATACCTGGGGACGGTAGGTCGGTTCGGTGTGGGTAGAGCGTGAGCCATGCTATATGGTTCAGAGATGGGTCATGGAAACATCCCCCACAGTGGGCGGGCCATGCATCCAAATGGACGAAGCTGGCGACAAAGTTGTTCAATTCGGTCGGCATTTCAGAGAGATGGTTGTCCATATAAATCCTTCTACAAACAAGACATTTTCAACATTTATTTTTTTCTGGCCGAGGAAATTGCTGTTTATCAAGCACGGGACGGGTGCGGTAAGCTTCCAAATTCATTACTCGGCAGAAAAAATATAGTGAATGCTTTAATCATAATAAAGCTAAATTTGAAGGATTTTAAGGTATCATGACGTTCTCCCATCCAGATTCAAACGTGGCCTGGTCACTTTGAGGCACTGCTGGTTTTACGGTGCCTGAACTATCATCCTTTTAGATTCATCAACTATTTACATACTTTTCCACATAAAATTTCATGAGCTTTTCTAGATATTTCGTAGAATCTTAGTTTTGCCCCATTAAATTCGTCGGCATTTGAAGATGGCTTCGTCTAATTAAAACGCTGAACTTCTTTGGTTCTGCTTTTCCTTTTCTGAATTTACGTTTTATTAACTCGTGACTTATTTCTAAGAATAAAAGAGGGTCCCATAGGACAGTATCAAATATGGGCAGTGAGGAGCATGCGATCCGCATCCAATCGTTAAGTGTTTGCTTCTGTATTCATTTTTTTCAGAGTCACGAGAATGTCCTCCACCGGTTGTTCTCCCCCGAAAGGCGTCCTCGATTCATAATGAATCGTGGAAGAAACAGTGCGCGGCTGAGACTCCGGTTCAAGCGGTGAGTTCTCGAATATTCATAAAATTTTTAATTGAGACTTACAGAGTTTTAGGAAATCAAGTACATGTATTTCATGGATATGGAGTAAGTCTGAGCGTTGTGCAATGTATTGTGAAAAACCTATTCCTTAGTTGTTCTCTGTACATTACTGAAGCATCAGGCGCTCATGTCCTTTGAGGGGCATTCAAAACAGGGCGTTCAAAAACGCTCGTGGGGAAAATCAGGACTAAGTAAAGCTATATCCTACTTACTATAAAGCGCTTCGTCTGTCGTTCTGTCTGTCCCTCTGTCTGTCGTTCTGTATGTCTGTCACGAAATTCCCTAGCTCCTCGGGATCCGCCTGGAGGGACCGGGTCAAGTGTGGGATGGGTGGGCAGGGTCTCACGTAATACAAAACACACATCAGCTAAGCGGAGCCCCGCCCACAGAGGGCGTGGCGTGCGTCGAAATGAATTGTACCAAAGACCAAGATTTCGATTTCAGTGACAAAACGACCTCGAAACTGGGCCAAAAAGTGGGGTAAGGTGTGCATTGGTAAGTCACATCGAATTAGGGAGACCCACCCCCGGTGGGCGGGGCGTTCTCTAAAAAAGCAGTGCTTTATGAAAAATTTCATAACTCGGTTGGGAGAAAGCCTACAGAGCAGAAAACAATTTGGTGTAAGGGAGCAATGTCTAAGGTGTTTCCTGCATACATGACGTGGGCGGAGGCCCGCCCAGAATGGGCGGGGCGCGCTCTGAAGTGTACAGCATTTTCTACAAGCCCTCATAATTCGGGTCGGGGAAGTCCTAAAGAGCCGGAAAAAGGTGGATAGAGGTGTATGGAGGAGTGGAGGCCAGCTATCAATGGTGGGCGGGGCTTGACCAAAGTGGGCGGAGTTTGCGACGAAAATTTATAACTCGGCTCCATGAAGCTCCGGAGGCTGGGGAAAAGGTGGATAGAGGTGGGTGGAGGAGTGGAGGCCAGCTGTCATTGGTGGGCGGGGCCTTGACCAAAGTGGCGGAGTTTGCGACGAAAATTTATATCGCTAACATCGCAAGGCTCACGAGGACACTGGACAAAGGTGGATAGAGGTGGGTGGAGGAGTGGAGGTTAATTGTCATTGGTGGGCGGGGCCTGACCAAAGTGGGCGGAGTTTGCGACGAAAATATAAAACTCGGCTCCAAGAAGTCCCGGAGGCTGGGGAAAAGGTGGATGGAGGTGGGTGGAGGAGTGGAGGCCAGCTGTCATCGGTGGGCGGGGCTTGACCAAAGTGGGTGGAGTTTGCGACGAAAATTCAGAACTCTGTTCCAGAAGGTCCCGGAGAGTGGGGAAAAAAGAAGATATAGTTGGGTGGGAAAGTGGAGGTCAAAGGCCAGTGGTAGGCGGGGCTTGGCCAAAGTGGGCGGAGTTTGCGACGAAAATTCATGACTTGGCTCCAAGAAGTCCCGGAGGCCGCGGAAAAGGTGGATGGAGGTGGGTGGAGGAGTGGAGGCCAGCTGTCAATGGTGGGCGGGGCATGACCAAAGTGGGCGGAGTTTGCGACGAAAATTCATAACTCGGCTCCAAGAAGTCCCGGAGGCCGGGAAAAGGTGGATGGAGGTGGGTGGAGGAGTGGAGGCCAGCTGTCAATGGTGGGAGGGACATGACCAAAGTGGGCGGAGTTTGCGACGAAAATTCATAACTCGGCTCCAAGAAGTCCAGGAGGCTGGGAAAAAGGGAGTAGAGGTCGGCGAAGGAAAGGAGGTCAAATGCTATTAGTGGGTAGAGCACGCACCCAAGTGGGCGGAGTTTGCCAAAAGTATCGCAATTCGGTTGCAAGAGGTCCTAGAGATAGGGGAAAACGGGGTTAGAGGTTGGTGAGGGAAAAGAGCTCAACTGCTATCACTGGGTAGAGCACGCACCTAAGTGGGCGGAGTTTGCCAAAAGTGTCGTAATTTGGTTCCAAGAGGTCCCAGAGACCGGTGAAAAAGGGGGTAGAGGTCGGCGAAAAGAAGGGAGCCAAATGCTATTGGTCGGCAGGGCACGCACCGAAGTAGTAGACGGAGTTCGCCACGAGATTTATTGTCCGGGCCGAGGACCGAGAAAAATAGGATAATGGTTGACGAAGAAAGAGCGCATAGAATTTAGCGGAGAATTCAGATATTCGTATTGTATCAAGCCAAATTTGAAAATTTTTCGTCGCACCATCAAAATTCGCCACAGATCTGTGTTGCGCGCGCAATGCGTGCGGCGCCAACTGGTAAATATATTTGCTTCAATGTTTTCGGAACCTTTCCCACTCTCTAAGACTTACAACTAGTCTCGCAGTTGTAGTAAGTGGCCAAACTCACTTCATATCCCCCCCTATAGGACCTGGCGCTCAAGCATCCATTTAGGGACCTAGTGATAACATCTCGTGGGGCCTTTGGGCATCCCGATTATGTCTTGTTTCTGACTTGTTCCCCCAGGTCTCACTCACTTCCAGATCAATTGAGATACGCTTAGAAAACGGCCCGGAAATTGTGATCTCGGGTGCTTTCCTCGGCTTTTTGAATGATTCTCCTTTCTTACCAAATCGATAAGCAGCTAGAAATTTTTTTCTTAATTTCGACTTGTTTTGTTCGTTAAATGCCTGTTTTAACCCCTATCGCGTTGCGATTTCACAGGATTGCTGGTTACTGAACAAAACCTTTAGCCCCCCAAGGTGGACCTCCGAAAGAGTGGCGGGTTGGAATTCCGCCGCGGAGTGGAAGTTTGTTCGCAAATCACACAATTTATGAAACTCCTGTCCGTAACATTTTTGGTCTCTCACCAAAAATTTAGGCGGCTAGAAACTCTCCTGGCCTCACAAATAAGTTTTTTCTTTAAATAGTTTGTTCTGAGCCTATGTCATCTCATTCTAAGGTCAAGAGGGGAAGGGAGGTTCTATTCTTTTCTACTCCCGCGTAAGTTACTCACAGTCGTTTTTGTGTGGAGAGTTATTCATTGAAAAGGATCCAGTCAAGCGCTACAAATCTTGTGAGGAATCTATCTTTCCTCGTCCTTGCGTAAGGCCATACGGCAGTCAGAAATAGGTTGAGTTCGCTAGGCACTCGTTCTTTTCTCAGTTTGTTTCTCGATGTGAATAATTTGGTACTCATTACGTTCTATTTTTTCTTCTGTGATTATTGATCGTTTTCGTTTTTAGCACTTATTTAGTGGGGGGGGGACGTCCAAGTGAGTGAGTAAGCTTACAGTAACTGATGTAAGCTTGGAGGAGACATTGGGTCCTGGTGTACATTGTGAGCAATTTTTGGTCTCCCTGGCGTTTTTCCTCTTTCCTATGTTCACTCCTAGTGCCACCTACCAGCAGTTTTTAAATGTCCTGTTTTGGATGTCTCCCTCCCCTCCCTCTCCCTCGCTCCCGCCAACACGCCAGTAAGCCGCTGTTTTTTCCTGTGTTTTTGTGTGGTAATTCAATGAATTTACGTTAAGCGTGCCACCGACAAAAAAATGGGTGCAAAATCGGCCTTCTTCTTAATTTGCGCTATGCCGTTCCTTACCAGGAAGGTCTTTCAGGGCGTGACAAGCTTTTTGAAAACGGTCTTTTGCATGATATAGGGGCAGATGCGGGAACCACAGAACCATGTTCAATTTTTCCTGAACGGCCCTCTGAATACCAGAAAAGGAGGTCCCTAGTTCGATTCCTCGTGGTAACAAATTTTTGCATTTCGAGTTGACGTGCCAAAATTCGCGCAAAATGGAGTTAGAACCAACCAGAACAATCAGAACTCCATTTTGCGCGAATTTTGGAACGTCAACTCGAAATGCAAAAATTTGTCACCAAGAGGAATCGAACTAGGGACCCCCTTTTCTGGTATTCAGAGGGCCGTTCAGGAAAAATTAAACATGGTTCTGTGGTCCCCGCATCTGCCCCTATATCATGCAAAAGACCGTTTTCAAAAAGCTCGTCACGCCCTGAAAGACCTTCCTGGTAAGAAAATGTGAGCAGAACACAAATTAAACCTTTGCGTGCAGTTGTGTAGGGTGAATATCCGCATAGATCTGATAGCTCCTTGTTTCAATCCATAATCTCTCCATCGGATTTATCATTATGAAATTTTTTTATTTGTTTATCAGCATGCTTTATGGCATACTGTATTGTTAAGAGGAATTTCATCCCATCTTCTCTGT